GTATATACAAACCGGATTCCAAAAAAGTTGGGACACTAAACAAATTGTGAATAAAAACTGAATGCAATGATGTGGAGGTGCCAACATCTAATATTTTATTCAGAATAGAACACAAATCACAGATCAAAAGTTTAAACTGAAAGGATGTATAATTTTAAGGGAAAAATCTGTTGTTTCCAAATTTCATGGAGTCAACAAATCCCCCCAAATTTGGGGATAAGTCCATTTTTACCACTTTGTGGCATCCCCCCTTCTTCTTACAACACTCAACAGACGTCTGGGGACAGAGGAGACCAGTTTCTCAACTTTAGAAATAGGAATACTCTCCCATTCATGTCTAATACAGGCCTCTAATTGTTCAATCGTCTTGGGCCTTCTGTGTCGCACCTTCCTCTTTATGATGCGCCAAATGTTCTCTATAGTGAAAGATCTGGGCTGCAGGCTGGCCATTTCAGTACCCCAATCCTTCTTCTACCTAGCCATGATATTGTGATTGCTACAGAATGTGGTCTGGCATTATCTTGCTGAAAAATGCAGGGTCTTCCCTGAAAGAGATGACATCTAGATGGGAGCATATGTTGTTCTAGAACCTGAACATAGTTCTCTGCATTAATGGTGCCTTTCCAGACATGCAATCTGCCCATGCCACAAGCACTCATGCAACCCCATACCATTAAGGATGCAGGTTTCTGAACCGAGCATTGATAACATTGTTTCCGGTAAGATGGCTCCCGTGTACATGGCCTGCAATCTACCTCTGATGATACTGTTTGGATTATTTCTGCTTTTTTCGTTTTTTGTCTGGGATATCAACTCGCTGCTTGTGTATGAGCGACAACAGCTCCTCGATCTTCGATTGTCTGTATGTGCTGTCGCTGATTCGGACCATTTTGATCATGACTCCGGACCCCCCCCCCCCCTCTTCCACCCCTTCTGGCAGACATGCCTGCTTGTTTATGCTGGGCCCCAAGCCTGCCGTCTCGGAGATATCGATCCAGACGCCGGGGAAAACATGCCGGCCGGCTGGTAAAACTCAAAGCTCTGCGTGGTCAACGTTTCCACAGCCAGCTTCCTACGTGGCCGGACCAGGGAAGATATGGGTGTTGTCTACCGGCCCGGCGTTTGGACCGTCCTGGAGGCGCTGTTTTTAAAAATCTGCAACCGTTGGCGTGCACCACCCCCACCATGGCTGGTTCTGTGTAGGACCAGATCAGGACGTGCCTCATCAACACAAGGTCTGTTACCAACAAGACTTTTATCCTAAATGACTTTTTTAAAGACGAGGGACTAGATTTTCTTTTTCTCACGGATGCCTGGTTGCCTTTGGGTGATTCAAGCGCCTTGGTGGAACTTTTACCTCCTGACTGTCTCTGTTTTAATGCCCCACGGCCATCAGGCCGGCGGGGTGGTAGAATATTAACTGTATTTAAATCAAACTTTTCCTGTAAACAGTTGTCTACCCTCATGCCCTGCTCCAGTTTTGAGCTGAGTGCTTTTGAACT